ACGAGGGCAGAGCTGGCACAGTTGTGGAGCCACCATTGGCATCACAGCCACCCCTGGGATCCCTCCCCATGACACTTGCCAAGCACAGGAAATACATAAATTGTGCTGTTAGCAAGTTTTGCTTGAGGGTGCATCTCTGCCATCTAGTGGCAGACTATCTAGCAACTGCTGCCTTCAGCCTACTTTACCACTGAGAAGTGTTAATTTGGCAGCAGTTAGCAAAAGGTTGCTGACCACTAGAATACATACATTGTAGAGTACTAATTGTTTCAGAAAGATTGAAAAAAACACGTTGGGGTAGCAAAGCAAAAAGAAAACCCCCTGTGGCCTCACATGATCTAACACCCCTGGTGGTCACCTACCATCTCTCACTGGAACCAATCAAAAGAATCATGAAACACTACAGTTTATGCTCAACAACAGATCAGACCTTGAGAAAAATATTCCCAGTCCCTCTGCTCCTGGCTTTCAAACAGCTCCCTAGCCTTGCCCAACTCATCATCAGAAGTTCATTCTACACTGCCCATGTGGGAAAGGCACCTAAAGAAAACATGGATTCAGATGGTTTTGTTATGGGGGGGAAAGGGTGAGGAGGGGGGTTCATAGCAGTAGCAGTGAAAATGTGCTAACAAGTTAAGCCTTTCCCAAAATGTGATATACCTGATCCAATGCACCAAGTGTTCTTATGGCAACTACTCACCAGAAAGAACTCTCACAGAACAAATATAAAGGACAGAGAAATGCACACACCATTAGGAGCACAATTCTCATAGAACAACCAATCCCTCTCTGATCTCATTTTCCTCATGCTCAAGGGAAATAAAGCATACACCTGTAAAAGATCAATTGGGGTGGGGGGGGTGGAATCCATAAGCTGGCTGGACACTAAGAACCAAGGACTAAACAGTGATATTGGGTTTACCATGCATTGTATATTATTCAACTCCTGAATTCTTTCCACATGCGCGTGGTGAGAATGACCCTCCTCCCTTTTGATAGGCCATGATGATGATGATGATTTGTCTTCATTCTTAATAATAAAAATGGGCCTAAAGGGATTGTGTTGGGGGGTTGCTACAGACCTCCATCTTCAGTCCTAAAAATGGATAGGGAGCTCTACAAAGTCTTGAAAGAAATTAGTAATAATAAAAATGATATAATTATGGGAGACTTTAATTTCCCTGATATAAATTGGATAACAAATGCCACCAATAATGACAGGTCACCAATATTTTTGAATGAGTTAGCTGATAGATTTCTCTATCAAGTGTTCACCCTACCACTGAGAGCCAATGATATTTTAGGTTTAGCATATCAAGCATCTTGAAGTAAATATGGGGTTAAGATGGTGCGGGTGGTAAGGTCAATGGCTGATAGCCTAAGGGTTGTACATTTGAAGCCACAATACAGGGATGGGTAATTATTTCGGCTGGCGGGCCACATAAGAAGTTTTGGTGAGCTGTCAAGGGCCACTGCACACAAAATCTTTCAGAAGATATCATTTTAATAAATTATAGATAAAAACCAAATAAAACCTCTGCATGGGGCCAAGCCCCATCGGCTCCCACCCAGGGCAGCCTGTGCTGTGCTTCTACCAGTACCTGCCCTGCACCTGCCAAAGGCTCCAACCTAGCGCTGGCCAATGCGCACAGCTTCTTGGTGGGGCTGCCTTCCACCCACTTGACCACTTGGCTGCTCAACATACTAGGCGGGCAGAATGGATAGAAGGCAGCCTGGTGCTGGAGACGGAGCCCCATGTGCTGAGGCAGAAGCTGCCCAGCTGCAGCTTTCCTCCTGCACGCTGCTGCTTCCCTGAGCTACCTGCTGCTCAGACTGGCACAGCAGGGACAGGAAGAGGAAGAGCTGCTGGAGGTGGGGGGAGCCAAGCAGTACCGACCTGGCTGCAGCAGCTGCAGGAGCAACCCTTTCAGGAAGCTTTGCATGCTGGCCTGGGCTGGAGGTGCTTCTGGCACGTGCAGGGTGGGTGTAGGCCACAAAGTGGCATGAGCTGCCCTAGATGGGGCTCAGCCCCATGCAGAGTGCTGTGGGAGCAGCCATGAGCCAGCTGCAATCAATTGGTGGCCCAGATGTGGTCCACGGGCCATATTTTGCCCACCCCTGTCAGATTCCAATGAATCTGTGAATTCTGCTAAATACCTTGTTACAAGGACACAAAAAAGGAGAAAGGAAGTAAACAGATAATGGAACAAAGAACAGAACATTATTTTATCCAAGGAAGGTCACATTAAGCCATTCTAATGTGCCACTCTAATATGCTTCTATTACAGGATGACTGACTACATTGACAATCTTCTGTGGTGGAATAGATCTTTCTAGATGTAAGCAAGGCTTTTGATAGTACCTAATGGGAATGGGTTATATAGAAAGTGAGCTATGAGACAGCAGAATGGTTACTTTTGGTGTTCCTCATGGATCAAGTCCTGGAATGAACAGCTGGTGTCAGCTGTTCCCATGACTGCTGCAGCAGGGGTTGAGGTGAGTGGGAGGAAGCGGAGTCCCAGGCAGCATGGGGTACAGCACAGCTTGTCCACACTCACCCTAGCCCCTGCTGCAGTGGCCCCAGGAGCAGCCAGCACCAGCTGCAGAGGGAACCATCAGTGGTTGCAGGGGAGAGGCATGACTCTTGCTGCTCCACACCCCCTGGGAGGTCTGGGGGGCTGGGCTGGACTCTTCCTGGGAGGCGAATGCCCCTGGATCTGTACATGGGACAACAGCAGGCTGACACTGCAAGCTGGGGCCAGTGGTGGCACCGGGCTCTTCACAGTACTCAGGGCAGGTGGTGCCCAGTGCCAGAAAGAGCCTGGTGCTGCCGCCAGCCCCAGCCTGCTGATGGTTCCTTCCTCAGCTGGCACTGACCACTCCCAGGGCCACTGCAGCAGGGACAGCAGGTAAGTGCTGCTCTGTTCCCTCTGCTTTGCTCCCTTGTCCAGCCCCGGGAGCAGCACTCCTCCCCCTGCCTCTTCCCTAGTCCCAGCCTCACTCCCTCCCTCCCTCACCAGGGAACCTATCCCTATTTGTTACATTATGAAGTGGGTTTGCTTTATGTAAATTCAGTTTATGCCCCATTCTCTGGGAATGCATTTACCACATAAATCGAGGGAAACCTGTACTGGGTCCATAGCCACCCTATGTGATATATAGATTTTAGTATTTGAAATCACCATGTTGAGGTTCAGAGGTAACATCTTCTCTGTACAGGTAGACAAGGTTCCTTGGGTGAATTTGATATCTTTTATTAGACCAACCCAAATGGTTGGAGAATAGTTATTAAGCAAGCTTTCGGGTTCAAAAACCCTTCGTCAGGCTAAGGAAGCCTCAGCAGTTGGTGTGTGCTCTTCCTGGATGGAATGAAACAGGTGGCACTTGGTAACCCAGTTAATTCCTAAATTACATAGGGATCCAATTCACTGTGAAGAAATGATGAATGGAGAGGGAGGGTTCACCCCAAAACTGCCTACTATGCAGGAAGAGCATTGGTCTGGAAGGACAGAGCCTTTGGTTTTGGTCCCTGTTTTACCCAGTGCTTTCTGTCTTGGCCACACAATCACACTCACTTGCTTGCTCTCCTTCCAGCCCCATGACTTTTTCATTCTTATGCTTTTAAAATTATTTCATTCTTAGGTAAGTGGTTCATCGTCCTCCACACATCAAGCAGTCGCTAGCCATGGTTTTCCTCTGAGTAAGGATTTGAGCCTTTATGTAGCATCTAGGCACTTCCACGGAAGATCTGGACCACAACAGCATGTACTTGAAGGCAAACACATCACTAGAGCACTTCTGAGTATATTCACCAGGCCAAACTGAAGATGCACAAAGAAATCCAGACACCTACTGGCTTGGTGCACTTTGTAGAAATACAGTTGTTTTAAATGACTGGATATGTAAATGCCACATAAGTGCCTCTTAAAGGAAAAAAACAGTTTTGTCCCATAGATATTGAAGCCAGCAGTTATAATATTTGTTATTATATTTCCTTCTATTAAGAGATGTTAAGAGGAAATTATAAGATACTTTGAACTGAACAAATAGCACACTCTTCTCCCATCCTCAACTTTATGGTATTCATCACAATCATCCTATTTATCACAAGAAGCTGAGCTTGGATTAGATTCCTGTTGTGCTCAGTTGGGGTACTGAACTTTCTCCACAGAACCATGGTATCTCTGTGCTTTGAATAATGAGATGTCCTCAGTAGGTGAGTGCAACTGTATACTATTCTTGGCATAAATGACAAGACATGCAGCTAGATTTCTATTTAATAGGAGGAAAAAGTACAGGCAATGTGTGTACTGACTATAGCAGATCAGAAAGTGTATCTTGTGAACTAGGATCAGCTGCTACAAAGATAAGCAATGCTGATCTGAATAATGCACTGCCACTAGATGGGGGGTTCCTGTGCTGTCATAAAGTTCTGACACTGCATGTCATTATATTGTGAATTGTACAGCAACAACAAAGATGTTCACTATACAGAAGATCTCTGCAATCCTAATTAATAGGATTCTGAGCAAAAGTGGTAGATTTATCTGTCATTTCCCCTCCATTTTGTACTTTTAATAACCAATCATGCATGCAGCTGTTCACTAATGCTATTAAATTTAGAAATAGAGGGAGTGAAATTGGGTATTTGTTCCCTGGTGGGCAGACCAGAAAAGTTTTGTCTTGTATGTTCCTGAAGAATCTGGGGAATCTTCTGAGTCTGAGTTATTTGTTGGATGAGTTTCATTTTCTTGCCATTTTACTAGAATAAAGTCAGCAAAAGTGGATATCCCATGCCTAAAATGCAGACAACTTGCTAAAGACAAAACAGATTCCCCCAGGCTTAATCCTTTCTCTAAAACAGGACAGGTTTCTATATAATAACTTAAATAAAGTCAGAATATGCTCTATGAGTATTCAATGGAAACATCTGATCAATTTTTCAAGGAGGGATTAAAGAGATTAAAGTATTAAATCATAAAAGAAAACATCAAGCCTACTTCTTGTTTGAAGTAATTCTTCTCAAAACATTCAGAATTATCCCGCCAAATATGTGTTGAGTTTTCTGTTTTTTGCCAAATTCCATGGTCTAAGCAGACTCTGTATACATTTCCTGCACTTCCTGAAAGTAAACAGAGGTTTAGCCTGAAAAACCAAGACGGAGATTTCATTTTTCATACATGTTTTACTGATGTCGTCTTCTCAGCATAGGTACAGAAACTCCACAGAAGTAAAAACCAAACCAAGAAAATGCTTCGCTTTGGCCTTTCATGCTTCCATATAAAAAAATTATCAACGTATTATTAACATCAAATTCCCAGAATTTCCTTAGTAGGCAACCATCAACCCTTTGGGATCATGGTGCGCGTAACAGTTCACCAGGACCTTTGACACTTACACCTTCACATGCATATGGATGAGTGGAGGCTGCCCAGGCTTTCCATCCCCCCCTGTAGACCATTGAGACAAAATCCAAAGTCCAGACTGAGTCTGGACATTCAGTGCCTCAATGACTATAGTTATATGTACACCTGGCAGTCTAACCAGGGTCTCCCATGTGGCAGACAAGGATTTTACCACTGAACTGCAACAGCAGGCATATTCCAAACAAACAGAAAGTGACTACATCATTTAAATTATTAATCAGTACACTTCCCATTAGATGCAGATAACATATTTTAGGCTGTATATCATATCACAACTCTGGGGAAGAGGATGATCTAGGACAGTGGGAGCTAACCTTTTGGCAGGTGTGCCACAAATTAGCCACACCCTTCATGGATGCCACTCTGATCCTCTTCCCCTTGCCTGATCTGCTGCTGCTTTTTCTGCTCCCTGCCTTGTGTTTCCTGCCCAATATGCTGTTCTGCTTTCTATTTCCTGCCATATCTGCTACTGCACTGCCTGCTCCCTCCCTGATCAGCTGTATGTCAAACAGCCACAAGTTAGCTAACCCATATATAGAAGCCCAGCTTTTTTACTTTATTATAGAAAATAGGAGCAAAATCCTGAGATGGTATCAGTTTGTATAGTGCTATTAATTTTAATGGGCAATACACCAATTTATACCAATAGTAATACTCCTAGAGTGTGTCTACATGTTCATTAATGCACCATAATTACAGTGCATTAAGTTTAGAACCTATAATAACAGGTACTAACTTAATGCACTGTAATTGGCACCACTGCACAGTAGCACCAGCTAATGCTTTTTTTGTGATGCTAATGCTCAGTAGACTGTTTCTATTGCACATTAGCGCATTAGCATGGTTTTTGCCTGCTGCACTAATGTGCAGTAGAATTAGTCTACTGTGCCTTTAGTGTCTCATCTAGACACATCCCTAGTGTTGTAAGGATGGAGTGCTGCTCCATGGGGATGCTGTTCCTAAATTATTTTCAAGTTAAATCATCAGAATAACCTCACAAGTCTCCCAGGGAAGTATCAGCTGACTGTAACCTCTTGGTTTCATTTTAAACATTTCCATAAAAACTGTGAAAGAGCAGAGACAAGGAACATAAGTAGAACAGTTGCCTAATCTGTCTAGCTAGGGAAAAAGAAGGGATGTGGGAGGAAGGGGAAAGGGGGGATAAAATGACAGCTACCTCATCTGAGGAACAGGAGAAGATGAGTGGAACCCCTTCTAAACAGCAAACACAAATGTCACATCTTTTTTATGTGTAGAATGTTGACTCTTAGATGAACCCTATCCGTTTGGGGGAGGGGAGGCAGAAAAGTCTGATGGTAAAAGAAATCTGAAGGCAGGCAAAGAGTGTAATTTTTTTTTTAATCTCACAATTTTAGTGTCTGACTTCTCATGAGAGGCAATAAGAATCCCAGCCAATTGATTGAAATCCAGCCAGGAAGTTGCAATGGGGGTGTTTCAGACCCTCTAGTTTAAGCACTTCAGTATGTAATCCATCAGCACATACAATGTTCTTCCCAACACAGTAGGTTGGCCTTAAGGGCCATAACTTAGACCCATAGGTTGTAGCTCCCGTTTAACACCCTGGGGTTTCTTGGCTCAAGGAAACTTCTAGGGCAGAAGTCAATAATCTACAGCCTGTAGGCTGAATCCAGCCTTCAGAGCTATTAGATTCAGCCTGAACCCAGGGGGCTTCAGTAACATTTGGCCATGTGGGGCCTTGCTGTGTCAAGCACTGGATGACTTGGGTGACTGGGAGAAGTGATGACAGCAGCCAGGTCCTAGCACCAGCCTTACTCAACCCAAGACAGGTCATTCCAGCCCGCCACAAGAAAAACATTACTGGTCCCTGTTCTAAGGGAAGGATCAGTGTTGCGACAGCACTAGAGATAGCGGTGGAGAAAAAGCAGTAGTTTGGGGTAGCTTTCTTAAAGGTCAGCACCATGAAAAAGTCATTCAGTCCTTGTAGTTACTAATAGGACTGTGCAAAGCTTCGGTCCCTGATTCGAGTCGGTGGAGATTCAGCCCAATTCAGTGGTTGAATCTCCGAATCGGAATCAAATCAGAGGACCCTTTAACCTCTCTGAATTGAATCAGAACCCTCCGAATCAATTCGGAGAAATTCAGAAATATTCAGTGATTCAGCTATAGACACAGCTTTAAATGTTTTTTCTACATACCTCTAGGTAGCAGGTGGCTCATGAATGCTGTCATGCTGGGGCAGATGAAGCATCCCACAGGAGTGCCGGGGGTCCCCAGTGTGCTCAGCAGTAGGGCTGTGTGAAATGGCAGCGTTCTGTTTCGACCAGTGTTTTGACATTTTGACAGAACAGCGTTCCATTTCTAATTTTGTTTCAAGTCAAAACAGCTGGTCCATTCCATTCCATCGAAACAGAGTCGAAACGGTGAAACTGTTTTGATGTTTCGCCCATAGGATACAATGGGAAAGTCCAAAACAGCCTATAACTTTGTCATTTCTGGCCTGATTTTGGTGAAACTTGCAGGAATGGTAGCCCCTTCTGAGGGCATGAAGCCTGCCAAGTTTCAAGGAGATAGGTCAAGGAGGGTTCTGGGGCCATGCACCCCTAGCTGCTGACAGGCAAAAGTCGTGACATGGGTGCTTGTACAACTGCTGCCTCTCATCAGGCAGCAGGACTGAAGATCCCCCATCACTTACCACCACAGACCTGGGGGTAATAATTGATCACAGTATGAACATGAGCCGGCAGTGCAATGCTGTAGCCGGCAGAGCCAACAATACCCTGGCATGCATCAATTGATGCATCTCCAGGAAAACCATTGCAAAGAAGTGATTCTCCTGCTCTACTCAGCTCTACTCAGTATTGTGAGCCCACAGCTAGAGTACTGCATCCAGTTCTGGGCTCCGCACCTTAACAAGGATGTGGTAAAGCTTGAGAGAGTCCAGAGAAGGGCTACCCATATGATCAGAGACTTGCACAACAAGCCATATGAAAAAAAGGCTGAAGGACCTGGGACTCTTCAGCCTGAAAAAGAGAAGGCTAAGAGGGGACTTGTTAGCAGTTTACAACTACATCATGAGTGTACATCTAGGGTTCAGTGAACAACTGTTCACTAGGGCACCCTTGGGGAAAACTAGGAGTAATGGTCACAAACTCCTGGAAGATTGTTTCAGGCTCAACATTAGGAAAAACTACTTCACAACTAGGGTGTCCAGACTGTAACCATTACTCCTAGCTTCATGCCCTCAGTAGGGGCTACCAGGCTACCATTCCTGCAAGTTTAATCCAAGTCAGGCCAGAAATGACACAGTTATAGGCTGTTTCATCCTTCCTCATTATAGCCCATGGGCGAAACTTCAAAACAGTGTTGAAATGGTGAAACGTTTTGACTTGCCTCGTTTTCTTTCGAGGCTGTTTCAACTATATCTGTTTTGTTTTGATTTTCCTGTTTTGACCTTGAAACAAGCCAAAACAAAACTGGTGGAGAAATTTCACACAGCCTTACTCGGCAGTAGACCTGGAAGTGGACCAGAAGCACTTCCGGTCCACTTCCAGGCCTGCTGGGGAGAGAGCAGGGGGCTCCCCTGCCACACCCTCTGGGCTTGGTGACTGTTGTGTCCTGGGTCTGGGGTCCCCCTGTGGCCGATCGCTGAGGTGGGGAGCCAAAGGGGGGGGGCGGGCTCTGCGCGATCCTCAGCGGACCTGAAAGTGGACCAGAAGTACTTCTGGTCCACTTCCGGGTTCACCACCAAGCACGCGGGGGGGCCCCACGCACTCCTTTAGGATGCTCCATCTACCTCAGCATCACAGCATTCATGAGCCACACCTGGTACCTCAAGGTATGTAGAAAAAACATTTAAAGCTGCGTCTATGTCCAAATCACTGATTCTCTGAATCAGCATCAAATCTTCAGATTCAGATTTGGCCAAATTGAATTGGGGACAGTGATCCAAATCAACGAATCAAATCACTGTCCCCGATTCAGGTTGAATCCAAATCAAATAGGGCCCATTTCACACACCTGTAGTTACTGAGCTATTGCAAGCTAAAGATGGAAAAAAGGACACAGAAAAAAAATTCAATAGAAAATCAGTGATGATCTCTCTACATTCCTTGAAATGTGGTGCAGTATGCTGCCTTTTGCAGCTAGCTAGGAAAAAAGAAATGCAAGATAGTCTGAAGCAATCCCCATTAAACAACAGCAGAGCTACAGCTGACAACCCAAAGGGAGTATTCCCAGTATAAAGCTTTTGAAGAAGATAAATCATGTTACCATTTTCCAGCCGTGGCAAATATGAAGGACAAGGAACAGATATATTTCCTGGAGGTGAATTAGGCCAGCAAACAAACTGATCAAATGTCCCATTACAATATATTCCTGAAGAGAGAAAAAAAAATGGTTAGTGTTTAGTAAAAATTATTCAGGCATTTAGCAACAGTAAAGGCTGTTATAGCTGATTCCAGGTGTCTGTTATGTGTAGAATCCAAGCCCTGCCTGTACAACGGAGAATTTTTCTGGAAAGTAGTGACTCAGGAAAACATTTGCAAGACCTAATGGACAAGAAACTCAACATGAACTCCCAGTGCAATTCTCTAGCAAAAAGGGCTACTTCAATTCTTGGATGCATAAACAGTGGAGTGGTGATTGAGAAGGTAATTTTGCTTATTTGGCACTGAGGAGAATGAAAATAGAACACTGCCCCTGGTTCTGTTGTTCACTTTTTAAAAGGGAAGGTGAAGTGCTGAAAATGTTAAGAGAAGACCACAAAAATAATTCAAGATCTGGAAAAAATGTTTTACAAGGGGGTTAAAGATTTCTGATAATTTAGTTAATAATAAAATTTTAAAAATCAAAACATGAGTTGATCATAGCATATAAGCACCTTCTTGGGAAGGAAATACATCATGCTAGCAGAATTTTTAGTTTATGTATAGTGCTTGGCTATAGTTTGCAGCAAACAGTTTAATCTGAAAAATACTTCCGTAAACCAAGAAGACATCCCTTCCTCTCATTTGCCCAGTGGTTAGGAGAGTCACTTAGAATAGTTCTTATTCAAATGCCACCTCTGCTTGAGGAAAAGATCTGCTATAGAAGAAAACATCCTATCCTCCTTGCCACAGGATATTCTTATTTGGGTTTCTTTCACACTTCCATGATAGAGATGTTCAATTTGGTGTACAATCCTTAAATATTCATTAGGCAAGCAAGCATGACTCCATAGTCTGATGCAGGGCTGTCCAACTGGTGGCCCACAATACACATGCAGCCCATGAGGGGGTTAATCTGCAGCCCCTGGGCTACCACTCCCCACTTTTCTCTGGCTGCAACAGCAACAGGGGCTCCAGGATCTGGCTTCTGCTTCTCGTACCTGCCCCTGGGAGTGGGTTAGCAAACAGAAGTTTGAGACATGGTGCAGCAGGGAGCCCACAACTGGTGAGCTGGAGCATGGAGTACCTGCCCATGTGCACAGTAGAGCCATGTGAGGGAAGGGGAGCATCTGCCCACCTGTGCAGTGGGGGGGAGATGGGGAGGAGAGGGGAGAGACCTACACATTGGTAACCCAAGTTCCCTTGACTCCAACCCAAGCAGTATGAGGTCCATGCCAGTGCAACCCACATGGCTTAGAAGTTGGATAGCCCTGATCTGGTGTTTAAATTACTCTGCTAAGAGATGAGATACTTTATATCAGTTCAGTGGTTTTACTTTTTATAACACATGGAAGCACAGAAGCCGAGTATGTAGGCACCCAAGGGCCCTGGCCCCCTCAGGAAGAGGGCTGTCACCTAAAATGCGCAAAACCTTTCAAATGTCCATCATCATAGCTCCTCCCCCACCTTCTGCCAAAAATAAAAGTTGGTGCCTATACATGGAAGAGCACCTTAATCACCTATCTTTAGAGATATTCTTCTCTGACTTTGGGCCAACAAACTTTTATGTATTTTATACAGAATGGATCAGGGTTAACAGGACCAATAAAGGTTTAACAGGACAAACTAAGTTAGCCCTTCCTCCCCTGCCCTTCACAGTTCCCTGTGGCATGGTGATTAGGGTACTTTGTTGACAGGCATTATGTGAGTGTGAGTTCCTTCAAGTGGAAGAGGTATTTAACCCCACGTCTCCCACATCTCATGTGAGCATCCTATTTACTAGGCTATTGTGCAAAAAGAAGAGAGCTCCTCATTTATGCTGTATCTGAGAATGATGCTTGAGTCTGGGCTTTCAATTTGCTTGCTTTTCTTTTGTTAAAATGCCTGCAATGGAAATAGATAGCCAGATTCTATTCCACCTCTGGGGCATGTAAGTTGACTTAGGCATCTTCCACTCTTTTCAAGTTTCTGAAACACTGCTAATGCAAAAGCTGACAGTGTTTTCCTCGTCCTTCCTTTTTTTCAAGTGACCTCAATTTTAAGGGTAAGTAAGTGTTATAAAAGTAGATACATGAATGGATTTTCAAAACTTCAAGAGTGTGGATTAGAATTGTACTTAGGTACTTAATTCCACTTGCATACCTAAGAGGTGGAACAGAACTTGGCCCAAAAATATGTTGCTTTAATGTAAATTGAAAGCTTTATTTAATCCAAAATGATTTTTTGGGGGTTTTTTTCATTTCAGCACCTTCCTGAAATACACATTTTTTTAAACAAACTGCCAGGAAAAATGCTGGGTTCTCTATCCCTTGATTTCTTCCTGTCATAATTGGAGGGGTATAAATTGTAGCTGTGTTGGTCTAAGGACATAGGCAGACAAGGTTCTTTGGGTGAATCTGATATCTTTTATTAGACCAACTTAAATAGTTGGAAAACAATTATTAAGCGAGCTTTTGGGTTCAAAAACCCTTCATCAGGCTAAGGAAGTTTCAGCAGTTGGTATGTGCTCTTCCTGGATAGAATGAAAAGTAAAGAAGCCCGCGGCTGGGATGGTATGCATACAAGACAGGTAGTCAGTGAAAATGTAAATTGAGGAGTCAATGGGTAAGAGACAGGCTGGGGATGGGGGGAAGAGAGAGAAGGGGGATGAAAGTGGAGAGAGACCTGGGGAGTCAGATGTCAGGCACGTTATAATGTGTCATAAATCCAATGTCTATATTTAGTCCATGATTTTTGGTATCCAGGAGGTTGAAGAAGTGGAGTTCATAGGCTCGTCTCTGGGAAGTGTTTTGTAAGTTTCCTTTGAGGATCAGGACTGAGAGATTGGAGAGAGAGTGGTTTTCTTGTGAGAAATGTGCCCCCACAGGTAATTGGGTGTTTCTGTCTTCGATTGATTTCCGGTGTGCGTTCATTCTGGTGCGCAGTTGTTGTTTGGTCTCTCCTACATATTTTCCATCAGGGCATTTGGTGCACTGGATGAGATATATTACATTTCTGGAGGTGCAGCTGTAAGATCCAGGGATGCTGATGGCTCTGTTGTGGGGTGTAGTGATAGTGGGGGTGGTGGAGATGTGTGGGCAGGTTTTGCATTTCTTGTCCTGGCATGGTCTGGATCCTTTTGGTGTGTTCTGGGGTTGAGGAAGTTTGCTTCTGGTGATGAGGTTGGCGAGGTTCGGTGCTTGTTTGAAGGCTAGGATGG